GGCTGATGCGCTCGTAACAGGGGACTGCATTTTCAGTTTCGGCCATCAGACTGTTTTTATTGCAAAGTCGCTTATACGTGTTTTGCTACAAATCTGCAGGGTTCATACTACACCCCTGTACTCTCTGGATGTGTGGCACACCAAAGGGCTGAGGCAAGTCAGAAGCAAAGCTGGAGGTAGATCTTTCATGACTTTGGCAGGGTAAGAATCTTGCCGGTCCTCATTCCAACAGCAGTCAATAGTTTCATGGGCCAAACCAATACAGAGGTAGACAATGTGCCTCTGAACAGTTTAAACATTACCTGGCTTTTCCTCAGACTCCTGAAGAGGAAGAAACAAATCTGGCAGCTCATAAAGTCAAATACAGCCCAGTTGCTAAGGTAACCCAGCTGATAAGAACACCATGCTAATAGACAACAACGGGCACAAGGCTCACCTGCCTTTAGATATCAACCCCCACCAAATGCAGAGCAGAATCAAACGCAGTAGGCAAGGTGGGGCTCTGCAGAGAAACAGCAATGCTCATCCTTCTAAGCTGCTTGTACGAATGGGATAGGTCTGCCTCAGACACACACAGAGTGAACCTGGAGCCTAATGGATTTTATTGGGTCCCAACTGCAACAGGACAGGGAGCCCCTGGGGGGAGTCCAGCTGCACCTACCACTGCTCTCTGGCACCTTGCCTTTCAAACCCGTGCAGTCGCTGGGTTACTATCTGTAGCGGGCAGTGCTTGAGTAAAGGGCTAGTACAATCTGTATCCCAAAGTTTCAGGGCCAGTGATTGCTGTGGATTAGTGAACAAGCCTTTCAGTCCCAGAGAGCTAGTACAGAAAAAGACACTGGAAGGTGGAAATCTCAGGAACCTGCTCAGCAATGTATCTCCCCTCACAAGAAACATCCAGAATTGTGTTAGTGAGTTTTAAGTGACTGAATCGAAAGTGAGGTAAATACCAGTGTGTCATTAGATTAATTTGGATATTTCTAAGCCAACCTCTGTGTGATAAAAGTTAGGACGAAACCAACCCTGTTGCAGTTGGATAATCCCATAACTGCCTCTTGCAGGGATACCTGTGTCTTCCTATAAGCAACTAACAGGTTTCTGGTGAGATCTAACATGCCAGTTCCCATTTTCCTGCATGCTAACAAGCTGAGGTGGACACGGATATCTGGAAAAAAAAAGGACATTTTTGACACCTAAATAAAAGTTTTGTGGTGAAAACTTGCCCTGGTTGAAGTGAACAGCAGAGCTCCCAAGGAAAGCCATGGGGACAGAACTCGAGGGTGGCTGCAGGGAGGGTTTCTGGTGGCTGTGGTTCCACCAGGGCTGCAGTGCGTGCCTCAGACATGACACGCTACGAACGTCTGCCAACGCAATAACCCCTGCCTTTCCATGTACCTTGGGGAAGCACCTTTTATGAGATATCAAAGTCCTAAAATGTTTTATAACAAAACTCTCCCAGTCAGAGGTGTACGGGGAGTGGAATTTCCATTCTGCAGAAGAGCTAATTGCAGGCACCTCTCCTGATGAAACTGCAACTGCGTTAAAAAAAAAGAATAGAAAAAGAGAAGGAAAAATATTTTTTTTTCCCCACAGAGTGAAATCCTTGGAGACTACTTGGGGGCAATCAATATGGACTATTAAAAAAGTTCAGAGCTAAAAGTAAGCCAGATAGACTGCCTGCTTGCTAGAGTCCCAAGTTAGGAGCTGACTACCAGCAAACACTGCTGTTGCTTTGAACTGGCAGTTCCAGTGGGGAAAACTGTCTGTTACATCACTCTGCTAAACTCCCTTGCTGAGGTATTTTTAATTTGTTAAGTAAGTGCTAAGTTAGTCAGCTTAACCCTTGCCTGGTGTACTTACAGGGGATGCAAGTCTGCCTTTGGATCACCCCAACACAATGACCTCTAGTTCTGACAAAGTTATGGAAAAGTCTCATGCATATTGTGTAGAGCAGATAGCTAAACATAATTTTTAAAATCAACTCTAGCCATTGATAAATAATATATGGGACCTTAATGAGTAACATAAAGATACTTTTTCTCTCTTGCTTTGCTAGAAAAGTGTAAAATGCCCTTAGAGGAAAAGAGAGTAAGACCTTCAACTTGAAATTCTTTGCTGTAAAAGGGAAAGTGCTTTACCAGTAAAATTAATATTTTGAGAAATGATATTACATAAAAAGGTAGGAAAGATTAGTCAGCTGGTGAGTAGAGGTCATTATTTTGTCTGACAGGAAGTCCAGAGCTCTATTGATTGATCTCCTGAAAACAGAGGATTTGTGGATAGCAGCAAGTGAAAACATTGTTTTCTTCCTCACCACCAAGTAATTGCATGCTGCATTTAAAAAGAGACTCTATCTATAAGTAAACAGGTTTATGAGGCTGTGAGGTATCCTAAGTCCAGGAAGAATTCCTTTTACAATTTAAAATATCTGAGCTGGGAATAGAATATGTTTTGGAATTCAGCCCAATGATTCAGTCAGCAGCCCACGGGGCTTCCCTGGTAGCTGCTCCTCATCACTACCTCCCCCCAAATCACCTGTATGTAAATAGTTAAGCCAGTAGAAAGTCAAGGGTCCCTTCTCACCAGTCTAAACAGATAAGTACTTAGCTCTGGCACTGGACTATCGGTAAATCTTTTCATTATCCAAACCATCAGTCTACCTCAGCCATAAAATGGAAATAATGCAGTGATTTTTAAAAAGCTTTTTTTAACAATACATCTCTATTGATGTATATTTGCAGTTTAAGGGCCAAGTGTTATAATTTTCATGTCTTTCTCAAATTGAAGTGGCGAGCCATGGTTGGTCAAAAGCCTCCATGTTAACTATAGCAGTGTCGGTGAAGGTAAGGACACTCAGGTGGAAAATAAATTTATGCTGACATAAAAAAAGAAATGCTCTTAAAATGAAATCACGTAATGGCAAAAGCTCTAAATTGAAGGCTGTGAGATGGGGGGAAGCAGGTAGAAGGGTGTGTACTTTCTTTCTAGGGGGCCTAAATATGCTGCCATTGAATTCAATAGCACTGATGAAGTTGACTTCAGATATGAAATGTGGGCTGTCTACATTTTTGGTAGTAATCTGGGTTTTGTCACCTTTAAATTGGCTGTGAACCCTTTATAGGGTCCAGCTACAGTTCAGGAGCCAATAGAACCCAATCAGAATAGCACTAGCTTGTGCCTGTAGAGCAAGTGAGGGTTGTTGGCATTTACAATTAAAGGACATAGGGTACCGATGGAAGTACACGGGCAAATTTATCAGTAGAAATCTAAGATGCTAGCAACCGCCAGCTATGTAATCCCTGACCCTTGGCCATAAAGCACTGCCCTCATCCACACGGAATGCTTGAGTACACCTCAGGTCTTTTTGGCACGAAATACTTCACCAGCTCTTTAAGACATGCCACCTGTGCTGGTGGGTCTAAGCAAAGGCATGAGACTGCAAGTGAAAGCAGCTAAGCATGTGAATATAGCCTGTGTAAAACACTTTGAACTGCCAGACATATTTGCCAAGCAACTGTGTTAGGCCCAAATATCCATGGGCTTTGGCTCTGTTGCCCTGCAGACAAGACAGGGATGGAAAGGACATGGGAGTACTAGTTACAAGGCTGGTGTCACGGGGCCCAGTGCACAATGTGCAGAAACCGAAGATTCCCAATTATGTAAGAAGACTCCTGGGTTTCAATTAAAAAATTACACCACCACCCGGTCCCCTATTTTTTCTTATATTCTTTTCAGTCTAGGCTTCATTCTTAGAGAATGTTTCCTTCTGAAAAATAAAAATTAACCCCCCTGATCTTCCAATAGTACGTTATGGAAAGGAAATCTCCAGTGAGGCAACCAGTACGGTTATCTTCTCTGCTAAACCACATTTCTTAACTTGCTGAGAATAGCGTGGGTAATAAAAATCAAAAGGAGAGAGACAAATGTCAGCCAGGCAAAAATGTCAAAAGATTAATTTCTGTAACCCATCTTTCTATTATGTGAAAGGATCATGGCCCCTGTTGTGCTTGATGTTTGACCAGATGGTGAGATATGTACCTTTTGAATTTAAAGTGGTAAGTCTTAAGAAAATAGAAAATCTTCCTCATTAAAGTTGAGGCAGCACCACATCTGTAACAAATTTAAGGCATGTAAGGACAAAAAAGAACAAGGTGTTTTAAAATTTACCTCTGTGGACATGTGTAATACCCCACAGGAGTGGGGTATCACGTTAGCTTGCTGCTGACACAGATGCATGGAATGTTTTTGGGCGTGGTATGTATTTACATCTCTCAAAATAAATTGATTACTGGGGCATTCAGCATATTTCTGAAGTGGTTGGATTCCCCTTCCCCCTTTCCCTATCTATTTACAGTTCCCTTTCAAGTACAAAAAACATTTTCTGTAACCTCAGCTTCCTGATTCAGCTCTTGTGATGTCAGTTATTTACGATAACAAAAGTGAGACAATGCCTGTGGTTTGCGTGGGACAAAGGCAACCTTGTTTCTGTAAAAAGGGACAATCCTAGTGTGAGAAGCACAGGAAAGCTACAAAGTAGGACTCAGAGGTGATATTTCGTTAGTGCCACCATCTCCATACTAGTGCATACTAGTGGGCTTGACATAGCATTATCTCAAAGGCCACTGACAGAGGGCTTTTTCCTTTCCATAGGACTGGATACTAATGTGAATGCGGCTCCCGGAAAATCACCTCTTTGCAGGGCATGGCTTTAGAGATAGGTATCTTGGGAAACAAATGGATTGGTAGTGGGTAGAGAGGCAGTGAGTGTCAGGACACAATGTTTCAATACCAATTACGCATTCTGTGGTCACAAGCAAGTCACTCTGCACCTTTGCTTACCTGCCATGAAACTAGTTTAATCATATTGAACTGTCTAAACCACAGATGTGGTGAAACTTGCAGAATGCCAGTAAGCTCTTGAGGTCACAGAGTAGCAAAAGGATACGAGAAGCTCTTACTACACAGTATGCTTAGTTATGAATGAAAAGAATGCCACTTACCTGCTATTCTTCCAATTGGCATTGCATGGTCCTCAGGAGGGGATACAGACACCATGATGTGGTTCATATAAGCTAACTCTTCTCGGTGGGACAGGTTGATTGGCTTTACCTCCCTGTGCAGCCCATCCTCAGACAACCTTGGTGGTTTGAAATCGGAGTGCCTGGGGTTCAGTATCAAAGGATGCATGATAGGGCTGGGCATCAGCTGGATGACCCTGGTGTTCTCCTGGCGAGGGCTGGAGGGCTTCTGGAGCACCTCAGAAGGAGGTGGGCAGTGGTTGTTTTCTATTGGGGACACTGAGAGAGGATAGGACTCCTGGTGGTTGTTCTCTTGCTGATGCCTTGTCCCCGGCACCCTGTCGGCTGGGGAGAGGCGACGGATAGTGTTGTCCATAGGGGACTTCAGTGGCCGCTGATCAGGATCTGGTGATGGACGGTGGTTGTTGGTGATGGGTGATCTAGAACGATGCAACAGTTCAATGGTTGGGGGGTTGTGGTGGACTGTTTCTGTAGATGGTCTTGAAGGTCTCTGGACAAAGCTATCTGTGGCGAAAAAAAAACCAACAAAAAATACAGATTGTCTATATTGTGATCAAGGTATAGGATCTAACTGTCAAACTACTAGCTGGGCTTACTGGGTGCTGTCAGCTTGGAAATGTTTTTATTTGTGTGACCTACAGATGCCCAGAAAAATGCCATATAAATGCAGATAGTTATTACTACAAAAAATGAAATCAGTACCGTGAAAACAATCTCCCCCCCCACCATGTAATGGTAGTTCCTGAGGAAATGTGTTAAGAAAAATCCCATTTTGAGAAGCTGACTGGAACACGTGAAGAAAGTAAGATCTGATTCAGCTGTACTAACTGTGTTTCTGTGCAAATGCTTTGAAACTTCTCTCCTGCCATTTGCATTTCTGCATGTGGTTCCTGTTATTGTACCATGATGAGCACTGTAAGGTAGAGGACAGAGATAAAAAGGGGAAAATGTCTCCAGGAAAACATAGGGTAGTAAGTTTTAGATGGTAGAGGCTTGGGTCAAGGTAGAGAATATCTTAGTCTGAAATACAGACTGGGTTATCTAAAAAAGCTCACTGGTAGGAAGCTCTTTGTGAAACTTACTAAATTTTATCCCTGCCTTGATTTTAAGCACATGTAACATCTTCATAAGGATATTTTCATGTTGTTTTATTTAGTCTGTGCTGTCTACTGATGGGCTATCCCATATAAGCTCTTACATTTCTTCAGCAGGAGGACTTCTAGCATTGCTTTTGCATAAGCATACTTCCCCAGCTGTGATCATTAACAGTAGAGGGGAGATAAATCATGGCTCTAGGTCAATGTCTTTACATACTAACAATCCTCTCACAAAATGAAATGCTTGACATCATAAACAGTGCAAACTTTCAGCTTAGCCAAGGCCATCAAATTTTACTTGGGAAATTACTGACAAAGAGGAAAATGCAACCAGACTACAGTGACTAACAGGTTTTTATCTGAAAAACAAAGATCAAATTTCAGTGCTGTTTGTTGAAAGCCTTGGATGATAAGAGAAGAAAAATGCTGGGTACATGTCAACAACTGAAACAAGTAGCCACCTATTTGTGGCTGCCTGTTCACTCCATTTACTCTGATCCTCTTTAACGATTCTCTTGCTCTCCTCAAGGCAGGGGTACTCACTGAAGACCTCAACAAAGTGAAGACCCAGGTGTTCCCGCTGCCCTGGAACCCAGGCAGGCATCAGGAGAGGGATCAGCACTTACCCAGGGAAAGGCCTGAACAGGAAAAGCTCTAGTTCTTAGAAAATGTAGTGCCAGGCAGTGACGTAGCACCAGCCCTTTTGCCTACTCAATGGGCTGTTCATCTATACAAGGATGCTAAAGTCTACAGAAAAAGCTGAAATTTTAGGCAGAAACTACATGGCTTCAGAACACTTTTTTCACACAATGTGTGGTCCCAGACAAGAAAAATGTGTTTGTAGAGCTACTTAAGGTACTCACAATGAAACAGCTGGAGGACACGAAACTCCAGAGCCATATATTGTTCTTGTCTAAACCCAAATAGCTTTAAATGCAATGTGGCCAGCTAATGTGGGATAGCCCAAATGATGTGAAGATCAAAGAAGAATTAATTTACAACTGTACCTACCTCTGCGGTTCTCTTTTCTCAAAGTCTCATTTCTTTGCCACAAAAGAAAGAAAACCAACCCCCCAATTTTACTCAGTGCCCTATCTTCTACAGACCATCGACCCCCATCACTGTACATTCAAATGCACTGTGTTCATTCTTGGCCTGTAAATATAGACCAGAATATTGTATTGTTTGTCCTATTTATTTAAAGTGCCTTGGCTGTGGGGAGCAGCTAACTTTAAAGCAGAAAGGAATGCCTTGCTGTGCTGTCCACCAAGCTCTCTGTAAACATTAATTGGCTCTGACAAGCTCCAAACAGAAGCAGAACTGTCTGTCTGCTCCCAAACCATGGCGATCCCGAACGAGGACAGAGTAGAGAGAAGGTAGGGACCAAGGAACTCTTTAAAAAGCAGCAAGAGGAAAAACAACAAATGAATACACACCAGTGTTCATTTTCCTCAAAGATCTTTCTCTTTAAATACATAACTAAAGAATCCCCTCATGGCCAAAGTTGCTGTTTAGCATAAAACAATTCAAACTCAGCTCCAAGCAGTTCCACTGCCACAAATGACCCTGAACAGAATAAAATCCTCATCACATTCATTCCTTGGAACATCTGATGACTGTAAGTTGAGCACATATGTTATATCATTTCCTGCAGGAATAGATTCACTCATCAGTCTGGCTCTTCATTCTGAGTGACCAACACTCTTTTCTTGAAGGGAAAGCTGTGAAAGGGAATTCGGCTCCCAGGAAAACTGCTGACCTATCTGATCCATATATGGACGGGTGGGGCTGCACTCCCTTTGGGAGTTAGCAATTGCTGGCGTGTCAATCCCAAAGATTGGCACTCTTTGCTTACCCATAAAAGAAGTGCAGGGAATGACAGTATAAGCTTCCTGTATGGCATCCCATCAAATGACTCAGTGCTGAGTCAGAAGGACCACTGGAGATGTAGGTAATTCACTCGCCATTGCTCATCCCTCTACAGGGACCTAGACCAATGCCACAGATTCCAAGCCAATGCCAATGCATCTTGGAGATATCCTGAACTGCTGTCAACTGATTTCAAACAGCCAAACCCATTTTACTTAAGGCAGTAAAAAGCCTCTAGCTGTAAATGTTGGTCTTATCTGATTCTGGATTAAGTAGCTTAAAATGAAGGCATTAGAAGCAGGATCGTAAGTACATAATCTACTAGGAAATGGGTAAAAGAGTCTGTAGAAGAAAATGGCAAAAGATCACTGGAGTAAGAAGGGATTCTAAAAAAGTTCCATCATGTATTAAGTTTAACCACTCAAAATTGTGCCAAAATATCACTTGACTCCTCTGTTACAGTTTGTAAGTTAGGCAGGGTTAAGTTCTGCTTCTCACATTCATTCTTCTTTTTAACTAAGCTGCATTCTGCTGAGGGAAACTGGTAAACTTAATTGTGTTAATTTCTCCCAAGTGACTCTGTGAAACAGGAAGAAGAAAGAAGGAATGTCAAAATACATAAATAAATAAATTCACCTGCCTATAAATTCTTGGCATAAAGACTGTCTGATTGCTCAGTCTTGTAGCAGACAAGCTGTAGTTTCTTTTACTTGTTTTGAAGTCCCTCTCACAGCACAACAAGAACTAAGTTTTGTCATTATGAAGAAAAGTTTTAAGTAATAGCACAGATTTCTCTAAGCAAATACAGAGGTAATAGCAGCAGCCAGAGTATTCTGAGGAAGAAATCAGAGTTGTTTCTTAATCATCCCGTGCTCTGACAGAAGTTGAACTGGATTGCAACGGTTTTAAGTGACGCACATGAAAGGCCAACTCAACATCCCTGTGAAATGCTCTCTAGAGTGAAAGTTGCTCCATATCTTTAATGTAGAGGTGTCTGAGAGGGCAGCTTGTATCTCTGTTTGAAATTTAGAAAGGGAATGCTTGTGGGTGAATGCCAAGCTTCAGGAAAAAATGGAGATTTTTATAAGGGTCTCTGGAAAGTGCCTATCTTAATACACTAGGTAACTGTCTCTTGCACAATTCTGCCAATTTAACCTCATCTTGACCTGTAGCACCCTCTTCTAATCTGAAATATTTACACGGCTGTGTGGAAACACTTTGGAGTGTCCTTATCCCACCTGCTGCTGTCCTGCTCTTGGCTTAAGTCTCAAAGTTTTGCTGGTGCCACTTGATTCTGGCTTGCTCAGGCTGGCCATGGGCAACTCGTACAGGTCTGACAGTACCCCCGAATCTTCTCTTGCAATCCCACATTGAAGCTTGAAATAACTTGTGCATCTTTTCTCCAGTTAGCAGAGACTAGGCCAATATCCTAACCCCTTTCTGTTCTCTTATCCTGTTTACTTAAAAAAGGAATAACACAGTATTTTCCTAGATTTTTTTTTTCAGTTGAAAAAGTGAATTCTGCCTGATGCTTTCATGGAAAGGACCTTTTAAAAGGCTTAGGCTTTATATTTTTCTGTTATTGGAGAAAACCATGAAGTACTTTAGTGTGTATATTTTTAAAGAAAATAAACCCTCAATTTTCCATTGAAGGAAGTACACTTACATTTTGATCTGTATTAATAATGAGTAGAAGAAGCCTAAATCTGCAGTTCCACAGACATATCTATTCTTTCTTCACCATCTCTGACAGGCATGGCAGGTTTGGACACTACTATAAGGCTAACTAATAACCTGAGCAAGTAATTCTGATAGTAAAAATGAGAGAAAACCTGCAGAAAACAACTTCTCAATGTGAATTGCTCAATCAGCTGAACAAGATGGGCTCAGTGCTAGGAACTCTGGCGTGATGCGATGATAGATCTTCAGTTGAAGTGACTTTGAGTTAGATGTTTCTCTCTGAGGCTGCCTTCTCTCTTGCTCTGCAAACAATTGCATCTAGCTGCATCTCCAGCATACTAAAACTCCATGAAGCATCTTTGTCTACTTAATTGGGAGTGAGGTAAAATGAATCAATGGGGTCAATAAAACTTTCTGATATTTTTTTAATCTGTATCTGGCATAGCTTTTAAGCAGGCTTTGGAAACAGGACAAAATAATACAAGATAAATGGAGAATGGCCAGTTGACTCACTAGACCAGTTGACTGTTCTAAAGCCATGGAGACAAAGGGAGGAGAGTACCTTTATTTAAGTAACTTTGGAGCAAGAAAATGACATAATTCCTCATAGTCTTACCCTACTCGCCTCTATAATGGCAGCTCCCGTAAGAATGAGACAGACTTACCTTCATCATGATTCTGGTGTAATATGACCTCTGGCTGAGCATGGATGGAGTTCCCAGGGTGGAAGAAAGGTGTGAAGAGCATACGAGCTTTCCTTTGCTTCAGGATATGCTGAAGGAGTTCATACAAAACATCACCTGAAAGACAAACAGCAGGATAAAGGAAATGAAAACCTACATACTGCTGAGAAGACTTATTTAGCCATCTGATACATGGATTCATGGCTCATGGGTACTTTTCTCAGACCCAAAAATGCTTGCAGTAAAATCCTACATTTCACTGTTTTGTAAGGTTCTTCCCTGAAAGGAAAAAAGAAAAAAAAAAGAAAAAGAAAAGCTGCACATCATGCCTCTGTGTGTGACTGTGGAAAAATGAGACTTTTTTCAGGCTACGTGACTGCCCATCCAAGAGCTCCAAACCTTTACGAGCAGTAATTAGTTCAGTGTCGCACCTTCTCTCATCACAGCCTCAATTTTTTAGATAGACACCTTAGGACACAGAATTCTTAAATGTAGAGCCCATGATTTATGCAGTGAGTGGCTGGGAGCAAAGATGGTGCTCTTCTTTAATTACTGAACAATTTAGGCTTTATGGGGAGATGAGATAGAAGATGCTGTAAAGCCCCTCCATGCAACACCGGTGTCTCAAGGCCAGAGGCAGTGTGCTACTAAGATACTCTATTCTAGGAAATCCACAGGAGGAAGAACTCTCGCTTTGAGAGTTACTTTGGGATGGAGTCAAAGATTTGAAAAGAATTGAGAGATTTAACAATCCTGAACATCCTTGCTGTGGTGACAACTCCTGGAGACACTTGAGTGCTATAGGTGCCTTAGGAACCTCTATACGTCACTCTTGGTGTCATGGGTTGGACTCCTGAAAAGCCCAAATGGGATCCCAAAGCTAGTTACTTCTAGCTACTAGAATCTGTATGGAGCTCACTGCAACAGGCAATTTTAGACCACACATATGATGCAGACTTAGGAATAAAACACAGCAGACCTGGTGCTCTGTATGGGCGAATACAGGCTGTTAGCTGCTATTGTATCACTGTTCCACAGAATGTCTGCAGTGAAGTGCACTGCACCAAGCTGACATGTTCTCGTGTGAATTGATCCAGATGTTTCTTTCTGGGGTGCAGGCAGGCTGTTCCTTGCACCGCCCCCCCCCCCCCCCCAAATTGTTGTCTTTTTCCCA